CGAAAAGTCTGTGGAATAAAGTTGATTAGCGATAGAAATGTACTTATATCATATGATTTTGTTGGTCGTCTCCACCATAGAATTAATAAAATAGTTCACAAATATTGCCAAAATTCTATCCACAAAACAATCCTGGAGTTTTATCTTCATGAACAATAAAGCTCAATCAAACGTCACTAATGTATATGCACCAAGTAAGGTCTTCTAACTTTTCATTGTTTTAGGATCAGGTTTAGGACTTTAATTAGTTAAAATGAATAGTTCATTAATATAGGTAAAACAGTAATAATGCTGATGATTGACAGGTGTCAGGAAAATAGGTTGCTTGTCCTTATTATGACGTTGACACTGATTTCTTGACAAAGGGTAAAAAGATACCAAAAGATAGATTTGTTTTTCTGTGCATTAACCTTTTAAAAATTACATTTGCCATGAAAGACCATGCGCCTACGGTATATTCTCGTCTGAAAAAAAAATGATGTTGCATACTTTTAATGATTCCATTTAAAGACTTTTTAAGAGATAGCAAAAGTGAATATTAACATAAATGCTGATGATTTGCAAAGTATCCTTTTTGAAAATACATGTAAAAACCAAATAATTTCCCAATGTGTATAATTTAAAGTACGCGTCCACCGACTTGAAATCAACGTGTGACAACTGTTAATTTCAGTAAAATCCTTTTTGCCGTTTAGGGAGATGATTTTTTTTTACCAAATTTTTTTTTTTACTAGAATGCGTTGGTCAAGTGTCGATGGTGTTGGCCGTGCATATATAGAAAACTATGCATCGAGTTTTCCTATATTGGTTTACTGAGCTAGTTAAAAGACGCGTACTTTTGTCACAGGATGTATTCCTTAAATAAAAGGCAGTAAAGAATAATATCCTATTGTGATTTTTATACAAGTTTAATAATGGCCTGTTTCGAAAATAATAATAAGCACAGAATTTAAGTCTTTTATCATGAGGATTCATCGGTTATGATTGCCCCTGACATTTTGACTATTGTTCATAACCATCAAATCCGCTAGGCTTATTGCACCCAAAAGTGAGTTATGTGACACACTGTATAGATCTCTTGTGATAAGAGTCGTCTGAAACGGAAAGCATTGGCGAAGGTAGATGAAAACGCGATAACAATTCTTAAAGGAGAAGGAAAATTGCTGTCGTCTTGTTTATATTAATTTGTGCAGAAGTGGCAGGTAATTTATCTCGGACTTCATCTCATTAAAAGATAAAGGGCTGAAGCCTGAACCTTGAGCGTTTCCTTTATCCCAGTCAAAGGCCCCACAATAGAGTTTTGGTCAACGATAAATTTAAAAAGGAATCAATAGATAAAGTGCACATTGCGATCACGTTGTTTGCAAATACGAAAATGAGTTTTGACAGGTTCAAATGTCAAGAAAAAATAAATTAACTTGATTTTTGAGTGGCAGTTTGAATAAGCGCGTTAGCATGGGTTATGACTTTGGCTAAATATAGTTGTTTGTTTTGTTTTTAATGTTATTTTTGCCTATTAAGAATATATACGTATAAAAACTTATAATCAATTTTTCCCTGAAAAAGTCAGGAATATTTTCTTTAATAGTAGGATACAATAAAGAGAAACTCTATACGCAATGCAAATCTTTGAAGAATGGCATAAATGTACATTGTAAATTCGAAAGGTGGGATCAGAGGCCTGGGATGAGTGAGCACCCCATGTTGATTTTTCATAGCCGCCGTGAGCCCAATGTATTGATCAGGTAAACGGTTCATTTCGTAGTCAATTTTTGTTTAAGAACTAGAGGTATAATGTGAGCATGAAACGCCCGCCTCTCATATGAATATAATGGATAAGTTCATGTTTTGCCCTTGGAGACCCGAATTCAATGACAGATAAAAAAGTAAAATAGGAGGTTACAATATGCATTACGTAATAAAGAATCTTTGGAAATATTAAATTTTTATTCCGTGGTATAGGAGGAGTTGTGAATAAGAGGGAGGTACCCTTCAATTTTATAGAACGTATAGTTATGCCCATGTATTGGTATTGGAGACCTGAAATATGTGTCCGATCAAAACATAAAATAGGAGGTGAACAATGGCAATATGTAACAAAGATTCTGTGAAAATTTCATTTAATTTCATTCAGTGGTATAAGAGTTGCAGATAAGAGACCCCAAAGCGTAACAGACGTACAGACAGGCGGACGGACATCCCTACCACTATATACCCTCCTACTTTTGAAAAGGGGTAGGGGGTGGTATAATAAAGGCTTAACAATTCGGTTCTAACTAGATGTGTTACGCTACGCGGGTGTTTACGGCGGGTTTGGGGGTTGCCAGGAGTGTTTTTTTTTCTCCTGGGCACCTCATACAATCTTTTGTGTTTGTGCGCATGTTCTGTTCACGATTCGTATTTTTTCAAACGGATATTTTAGATCACAGATCGTTATCTTCACTTGTACGAATGTATTTTTAATTCTTCTAAAAAATGTGATGATAACGGAGTAATCCGAAGTCTAATGGTATGGAAACAATGGCAATTGATGGGAAAATGACAGTAAATAAAAAAAAAAACAATGTTGATGTAATAGGTTTGTTAGCAGACAAGATCATGGACCTGTGAAATTCTAACATTAAATAAACCCTGTAACATCAACCTATTTGTCAGTAAAATGTCTGTTTAAAAAAGAAAATGATCACACCCAGGACCCGCTTTTGGATTGTTTTAACAAATCATATTGGGGACATTTATAAACACCATATGCTAGTGAGTGTGGAATACTCAGTATTAAGTTGTGAAAAGCAATGAATTATGGAAAAGTAAAATTCATCGTTGAAAGTTTACCTTAGTTGTTAGTTGGCCATTGTCGTAAAGCATGACGCAGTCGTGGATATACAATGTCTTTAATTTCGAGTTCACGGGTATATATCATGTTGACAAATAAATTAATAATTATAAAGAAATATTGTGTATTAATAAAACTTCATTGATATCATGTATGTCGAAATGCACGTTGAACTGAAAGCTGCAAGTTTCATCTACTGTAGAATTTTTAAAATAAATTCTGCTTCATAAAATAAAAGAACACAATAAGGGGCTTATAAAAGAACACAATAAGGGGCCAACAGAATTCCAGCTGATTGATGAAACAAGAGGCCCATGAGCCAGATCGCTCACCTGGGCACTGTGGCTAGAAAAAAAAACAAAAATAATTCCAGCATTCTTTAATCTTTAATGCATACGTCGCCCCAACTTACCCCTAAAAAGAGGGAGGAGTTATGATTTAAATTACCTTGAATCTACACTAACAAAGAATGCTTACAAACTTGAATCTGCACTACCTGAGGATGCTTCCATATGAATATTTTCAATCACGGCTTTGTTGTTCTTTCCACAATTATTCGATATCACTATACTATAGTTACTTTCAATTCCAATTTTTTCCACAATTATTTGATATCACTATACTATGGTCAAAAAGTGGGGGGGGGGGGGGGAACTATCCCTTCAATGAACATTTCTTATAGTAAAGGTAATGTTGGGGAAAAGAGTGGGGGGGCCAGGTCTTGACAATTTAATTACTATACTACATTACTATATTTTACAACTATTACTTCAAGAGAAATGCTTACTCAGTTGTTGAACATAAAAAAATGCCATAAAATGAGGTTTATTATTACTTCAAAATAGCTGTGATTTTGTTCTTCATTAAAAAGTGGGGGGGGGGGGGGGCACAGACATACTCTTGCCCCCCCAGATCTGAAAGTGGGGGGGCTAGTGCCCCCGCTGCCCCCCCCCCCCCCTGTGACTATGCCTATGACTTTGATCTTTCATTGTGGCCCCACCCTACCCCGGGGTCATGATTTGAACAAACTTGAAGCTACACTTCCTGATCCTGAAGATGCTTCCACATTTCATCTTTCCAGACCCAGTGGTTCTTTTTTTGAAACATGCCACAAAATTTCATTATTGCTTAATTATCTTCCCTTGAAAGGGTTATGGTCCTTCATTTGAACAAACTTGAATGCCCTTCACTCAAGGATGCTTTGTGGCAATTATGTTTGGTTGAAATTGGTCCAGTGGTTCTGGAGAAGTCGAAAATGTGAAGAGTTTACAGACGGACCACAGAAAAAATGTGATCAGAAATACTCATATGAGCTTTCAGCTCAGGTGAGCTAAAACCTTGTCTTCTAAGACGACAAAAATAGTGTCAGGGAGACTGAAACTCCAGCATTGTCTTGATATCAACTTCAAAGTACCTGCATAATTGTTTGTAGAATTAACTTGATTTTAAGCAAAGCAATTTTATAGTTGACCAATCACATGATATGAAAAAAATTACGAGTTTCATATTTAAATTAAAAAAAAGTAAATCTATTTTCTTAAAAACTTTGCACTTTATCTTTTCGTGAGAAACGGTGGTAAAGCGATTAAAAGGTTTGTTATATGCAATTCCAAAATTTTTGAATGCCGGTATGGCGGTAATTGGTAATTTTATATAAGATTTAAATATAAATGATGCACAATGGTAATCTAACAATATCTTGGAATTCTTTCAATGCGCTTCTCAAGAAACAGTTCTTGTTTGACTGTTTTTTTAACAATATGCTTATGAATACACACATAGGGCTCCCGAGTCTGGTTTTTTTCCTACATGATGTACATTTTTAATTTCATTTCAACATTTTTTCATGTTTAAATTACATCAGGATGTATACAAAAAGGACCAGTGCATCTTTTCTCCTTAGTTTCCTCCTTTAGGTGTAATAAAACTTATTTTATTCTTGATTTGTAGTGCGTCTAAAGGATCTTGATCGTCTCTCCTAACTCTGTCTGGTATTATGATTTCACAATTTTAAAGCATTCCGCATATTGAGAGAAATTGCATATATTTATTCTCCGTCTTTTATTTACCACATGATAAAAAATACCACGTGGGTTTGTTTACATCGTAGACAGGAAAAGGCTATGGAGCGCTGAATAGGATCTTATCGTTCATTGGTCAAAACTCGGGACCGTAAACAAAGATGGCGGTCTTTGGCAAACCAAACTCTGTGACCTGTACATGTTATGAGTTAGGACACACATGGACGCCTTCTTGTTTCAAGGCATCGGCAGAAGTAGCATTCATAGTTTTCAAACAAGCTCTAAAAATATATGGAACACTTTATACGGTATGGAAAACATTGGGTTTTAAGCTATTCAAACTGGTTAAGTTCGACTTTGGACTTTTCATTTGAGATTGCAAATTGCAAGTTTCTGGGATAGAGCGATGGCAGTATCTGGATGTAAGATATAATAAAAACAGAATATATTTAGATGCACATGGAACCGAACATACATCAATGCTATCAGACTGTTAATACCGATCATCTGGATCTATGTATTCAGCCAGAATTTACTCTGACAAATCACGCACTTCTACACATAGACTATCTCATTATATCTATAATCATTCTTTATAAAGACGACATGAAGCAGTATTGTTTTATGGGTCACTTCAATGTGTCTGATAACAAAATATTAATGAATGGCTTGTTACTTAGCCAATGAAATTTTAAATAAATAATGTTTTTAAAAATCTGCCAACAGCACATTGAGCACAAGCACTTGTTTTGTATACAGGGTACCCCTACCTATTTTTACCACAATTAAGGTACCTAGATCAATATTATACACCCCTATTTCAAACTCTAATTTTAATGATTTAACAAACGTTAACCTACCTTGAAGCACTGTTTTCTAATGAAATATTCCAGACATCTTTGGTCGAGCTTTTATAACATTGTTGCTATAATAACTATGATAACAATTAACTCATTTGTTTGACATGTAATTTGCAGCATAAATTCCTGATTATGACATTATAACTAGGAATGTACAATTGTGAACAACACATTTATACCTTGAAAATATCTAAATACATTTTAAGATATTACTAACACAGGATACATCAACTTCCAGTTTATCTTGTAGTGCTAGATAAAACCAGAGATCTTGAGCTTTTTATTCTAAAGTCTCTGGCTTAACGTATATTTTTTTCTTTAACTGGAAATTATAATGTGTCTTGTGTAAAATCTTTTAAAGTGTGCTGAAAAAAAATTCAGAAAATAAATGTCAATAGGAGTGAAACGGTTCATCGCGGTATTTTTTCTCGGTTCGATACACGGTACAAAATCTCTGCTTTCAGTTCAGTTCGTTTTTCGGTCTTCATCGTCATTCAGTCAGGTTTAACATAAGGTATAAACATGCTTCTCTGTATAATTAGTTCAAAAACGTAAATTTTTTGTAGACTTAAAGTTTGTAAAATAATTTTTAACAGTCTAATCAAATAAATTTATTTATTCTATCGATTTTGCACATAAATTATTTGACTATAGGTTAAGTAAAAGGAAGCATAATACAACAGTTGAATTTGTTTCCTTCCTAGGTTTCTATCAAAGTGTATCGTATCGAAAATAACCGAACCGAGACCAAATTTTACGATACATATCGAACCGTGAATGAGGCATATCGTTTCATCCCTAAATGTCAATGATAAAAATGTCTTTAAAATTTATCAGGAAAGAAAAAAAAGTATTTCAAAGCAAATTCTGTCTTGTTAATATAGGTTAATGATTGATTAATTAATAAAATAACAAGTTGAAATGGGGGTGATTGAAATTGAGTTAGGTACCTTGTACACAAAACAAGTGCATGTGATTAATAGACTAGGGTAAGAGGGAAATTCAAATAGCATATGGGGGTTTCCCTAGGAAGGAAACTTTTTCCTGAGGCAGATTCAAGATTTTTTTTTCTTATATGTTTTCCATCCTAAATCATGGTATATGGCTATTACACTACATATATTTATCCTATTCCTGATGCAATTATTCTACCTAATTTCAAGCTGCATTTTTCTAACGAGACACAAAGATAATTTTGGAATGCAGCAATTGTTTAAAGCTGACATTCCGTTGCCAAAAAGGGTAGTTTGAAACTGTTCAAGGAAAATAAAGTATCAGAAGATCGAAATAGAAAATAATTTTGTAGGAGGAAATATGCTTTCAGCAAGGATATGCATATATAAATAAAAAATAATATGTAGATAAGCAACAAAAAAGCATCGGTGTAAAAGTCTTTTTACAAAGCTTAAATCTTGAGCTCTTGTTCGTCTGTCCAAATATTCTCAACCAGAGAGCTGCAGAACTGTAGCTCTCTGAAAAAAATATGTTGACAGACCGGAGAGCTACATTGCCAGCCATTGTAAAAATTGTATATTTATTGCGCACAAAAAGTTGCAATTAGTTCTGGATCAATTCATCCAAATTCTTACCTCAAACACAAAAAATATAGATTTCAAAAAATTCCTTACTATTCTATTAAGTACTGTAGTAGTCAACATCTGCACGAAGTGTGTTGTACTAAATTATCTTGCAAACCAAAATGACAGTTAGTCAGTATAAATAGATGAAATTTACATTGATCTCAATTTCAGGGCCAGTGGGGCTATTAACAACAATTAATAGGAATGTTTTGTCGTGGAAACAGTGAAAGAATATGTTAGGAACACACAGTTAGTAATATTTTTAGATGACTGTTTTAAAAACATGGAGAAAGAAATTGAGAAAGAGCGCACTTTCTTATGCACAATAAATATAAAGTTTTTTCAAAGGATGGCACTGTAGCTCTCCTGTCTGTCAATATAGTTTTTTTAATAGAGCTACAGTTCTGCAGCTAACATGTCATGGGCTTGTCTATAGTAGGTAGAACCCCATACTAAAATTCACCCCACTCTTCAGTAGGATTACGAACATTAAACTGCAGTATAAATTAAATGATTATTTGGACATTTGTTACATAGGACACATAATGTACCCCACAATAAACAATCTAAAGTAACCCTCTGTCATTTTTGCACAATGTTTCTCTCAACTGTATAGCTGCCGTCGGTAAACTTACAAATTTTCAACTTTTTCTCAAGAACCACTGGGCAGCTTTAACCAAAGTTGGAATAAAGCATTCTGGGATGAAGGGGAGTTTAAAGTAAAATAATGAAGAGCCAAGGTCCAAGGGGAGATAATCAAGAAAAGACAAAAATAGGGTGGGGTCATTGAAAATTCTTCTTCTCATGAACCAGTAGGCTGAAACTTATGTGGAAGTGTTCTGGTGTAGTGTATGTTCTAAACTTTTCCAATTGTGACCCCCAGAGGTAAAGTGGGGTCACAATAGAGAATCCAGATTTTACACTGAAATGTAAAGAAAAAATCTTTAAAAATCTTCTCAAGAACCATTGGTCCAGAAAAGCTGAAAAAAGCAGGGCCAAAGTAACTCAAGTGAGCACTGTGTCCCAGATAGGCTCTCAAGAAGAAAAATATCAAACTCATTATAACTCACTATAAACTCAGTTTAACTCATTATAAAGAGTTAGTATCTCATTATAACAACTTAGTATCTTGTTATAACGAGTTAGTTATATTGTGAATTTGTTTTAACAAGTTTGTTATTTTGTTAAAGCGTAAAAGTATCCTGTCATAACAAATTAGTTTTCTCATTTGGCCAAGTTTGTGATCTCCTTATAAAGAGTTAATATCTTGTTAAAAAGAGTTATCTTTGTATAATGTGTTAGTATCTCTTTATATTATACTTTCATGTAAATTAGTTGATCAGAATCTGATTGGTCAAGAAACATTTGCTAAAAACACTATGAATAATGAAGCCACGCCATCCAGCATAGCAACAGTCAACATTACTTGACGATGGGTGATATTTTGAAAAATAGCGACTGCGCAGAATTTATGCACACACTGTTCACTGTTATATGTATTTGTATAAAACATTCAGTATAATATAATAAATATTGCATGTAGTTAAGTGTAACATATAAAAACGGGGCAAAATTGTCAACCTCAGGTGCGTGTTGACAAGGGCGAAAATTTTCAATGTTACAATCAACTACATGCAATATTTATATACTGTTGAATTTGTTATCTCATTATTACTAGAAACTTATTATCTCATTATCATGAGGTAGTTACCTCTTTAAAATGAGTTAATCTACGTATCTCATAATAATGTTAGTATCTCGGTAAAATGAGTTCATCTTTGTATCTCATAATAATGTTAGTATCTCGTTAACATGAGTAAGTATCTCATTGTTACGACTTACTACTTTATATTCCCAACAATCATCTATTCTTTATCCATGCTTACTTAGACATTACATTTTTAGATTAATTTTTATCTCATTAAAGGAGACAATTGATTCGTTAATATGAAATAACTTACTTGCTTTTACATGATCATAAACTTGTTATTATGAGAAAATTCATGTAAAAACAAGATACTAGCTTATTTAAGAGAGACTGGGAAGAAATAAGGAAATAAATCTTTTTAAAAATTTTGTTTTGAAGAACAGCAGGGCAAAGGGTGATTCAGGTTAGCATTGTGGCACATTGGTAAATCATAATTTATAAGTTATAACTTATATCGGACTTGATCATGTGCTCAGATGACTTATAATTAATCAAAAAATTTTCAATTTCTGTCATATGATACTACTTAATAAGATGAGGGTCAGCAAAATTTGAAAATTGATAATATTTTGAGCAGTTTATTCCTATTTGTAATATTAATATTTCTAAAGTGGTCTGCATATTTTTTGCTATTTATGACACCTATTGAAAACTTTATGGCATGGCATAAAATTGCAGGACGGAAATAAGGATTATCCCTCATCAATATTTGCAGCACTGATACCTGAGCGTTGTAAGAGGATAGATTTTATGGCCATATCCCTAAACACCTGTACTACTTCACATGGAACATGTCAATATCATCTGCGTCAGATTTCCATGTCACGTTTTTTGTGGGTGGAGGGTGAAATGGTGAAGTTTTCATCCAAACTAATCCCACACGAATACCAATGCCTCTGGCCAATAGTTAAGCCAAAGCCAGCTGTTCAGAAATTAGAAACCCTGGTTTATTATGTTGAGGTCAAATGTTTACAGAATTATGAATTTTTTATAAGGGGTATCAATTGTCAGATGGCATGATTTAAAATCATTAGGAGAAAATTTGACTCCTTTGTATGAAGAATTTGGCTTATTATCTAATTTTGATATGAGTTATGATGTTTAAATTGTATATATGAAAGTGTGTGTGCTAATGACACCTTACTCATGCAAACAGTTTTAAAATTAAGAGAAATTTATGTCATTAAAGGTGTGTTCTCTAAATTCTTTTAGGACACTGATTCACTGGAAATTACTGATTTGTTGTTTAACAAAATTCGAAGAAAAAAAAACATTTAAACATTGCTGCAATATTTCAGCTTTCATCTTTTGACATAAATTCTATGATTGTCCGCCATATTTGATTGGTCTCTCGCTATATCTGAGGGCCTCTATATATAGTGCAACTCAAAGTCACTGTTCAGAGTAATCAGTCATCACTGGTGTAGACGAACATAGGCAATACAGCACTTGTAGCCACAAAAAATAGCTGTTTACCTTTTCTAATGCAACAGAGTTAGATACCAAAAAGAATTGCAACAGTTGCACAAGTCACTGCAGTATACATACAAATACAATTTTTAAGTAACTGCAGTAAAATGTAAACAGATGTAATGCAAGATATCCAGCATGAACATAGGTAGCCATTCTAAGCTGATACCCGTGACAATAAAGCAGTCAGGTGTAACAAATGTGAAGAGTATTCTCCGGTGCTGATATCGTAGATAGTCACTGAAAGTGGCTATGCCTTTGTATGAGTCATGTTCAGCTTTAACTGTGTACATCGCTGTAGATAACTGAAATGAAAAAAAAAACTTAAGTACTGTAGTCTGTCCCGAAGTACCAGGGTAAAAGTAACTAAAACAACATATTAAGAAGAAATATGAGTATCCCAAATGTTAAAACAAACAAACAAAAGGCCAGTTATTGCAAGAAAATTGAAGTTTCTGCTTTGCTGTATTGTAGGTAGCAGGTATATTGAAGAAGAAGGACCTGAAATATTTCAAAGAGAAGATTCTAAAGGAGATCGCGCAGTCAGTTGCCTTCCTCACCACCAATGGAACATTCTTCATATCATTCTTCTGCATATGGAGGTAAAATAAGTCACCAAAGGCATTTTACTGTAGTTCCAGTTTATAGCTAGCTTTTGACAAATGGCTTTATTATCACTGATATAATCATTTTATTTGATAGACATTTCACATTTAGAAAATAATTTGTACATGCTATTATGTAACTGACATTATGAGAACTGGTATCAGTGAATTATTCTCTTAAAAATGATCGAATATGTTTTGATATATTATAAGCAACATAGACTGTGAATAATGTACATGTACTGCATATCATAATCTGTAGCAGCAAATTCAATATACTGAAGTATCTAACCTAAAGAATAAAGATAAATATTCAAAACAAAACAAAATAAATAAAATAAAACAAAGATGTAATTTTTTTGAATCTCCAATGTTTGTTGATGATATCTTTCCAGAAAGCTTGCAGGTTTTTACTCATCATACTGTACATTTGTGTGTGGAATCCCAGCATGTGCTTTGTCAATAAGTGTGGAGCGAGCTGACAGGTACTCTGTACAAATGGTGTTGCACCCTGTACTAACAGATTCCGCTCACTGACATTGGCTTCCTGTTCAGATTCTACTTTCACTTTCATTTTTAAAACTTCTGGACAGTTATACAATGACTCTGAACTGAATCTGTCCTACATGTTTCTTTTTTTAAAATTAGTTTCTCCTCCAAGTATTTCACACCTGGGGTCTTTCAAGATTGTCAGATTTTCCAATACTTCAAAATCAGTGATGGAGAATAGGTCACCTCCATTGCTTGCTATACAGTAGATTGTTCCAAGGTTCTAATGGACCTCTGCACTTTTATATTCCTTTTGAGTTCTGTTGTAATACCTCTGTTACAAAAGTTTTGAATTAGATTTTGTCAACCTAGAAATAGTGTGCTTGTATTAATTGTGACTAAAGTATTGGTAGTTAAAATTGGTGTTTACATGTGTTTGTGCTGATGGCTAAAACTAATTGGATTAGTTAATTCATTAATGATATTTGAAATGCCCTCAATAAACTTAAGTTCTGCAGAGCTTTGTGTTTGAAGAAACCTTATGTAGATTAACATTTATAGATGTATATGGTATGTATGTAACATAATCAGAACTCTTCAGTTTCAAAACATTTCAAAACTTAACTATGTTTGCTTGAAAGTTGACAAATCCTGTTGCATTGAAGTTGTTTATAGTGAATTCCTAGTCACAACAAAGATTAATTCGATGATAATGATGTTATATAAGTACTTTAAGGGTCCTTGACCCTCTGTTAAGGGAGATAACTCTCATTTTGATCAATGACTAATGTTCCTTTATAAAATTGTCAAGTTAAAAATCAATATCCATTAACTTTTACTCCACAAGGTATCCTGAAATTGTTAGCATTTCAATCATGATTTGGGGAAAATTATCATTAAAGCAATATGTTATTTGAATGGAGGGGTGTTGAACCTGAATTTGATTAACTCATCTATTTATGTACTGGTATATTGTGTTCTGGCATTGTGGAAAAAAGGTATGGGACCATGATTTTGCTAGTACATGTACTTATAGACATTAGTCCTATAAATATTTGATTTGAAATAAAACGAATGAATGAACTTAAAGTTATAAAACCTTGTCATAGTAGAATTCCCTGATTTCTAAAATTTTAGTGAAATTTTTTCAGATTTCAAAAATTTCAAAATTTCAAGTTTTTTCATTGAGAACTTTCAAGCTTTTTGCTTTGTTTTTATTTTATGCATTCTCATAAGTCTACTTTGATCTTTCACATCTTGACTCGTGCATGTTAAATTTGTTGCTTTTTAAGTTTTAGTATGTTTTTCAAAAATATGCAAATATGTATGTGAACTTACTTAGGGGTTACTAGTATTCCTGGGACTACTGAAGTGCAAATTAGTTGTTGTTTGGCCAGTGTTTGGTTAAAACTTTGCTTTGCCAGTGTAAGGTTCAAAAACAGCATCCAGGATTTTATAACTGAAGGTGTAGATAGTTGAATTCTGTGGTATTTATAATGGTGTCATTAAGTCACTTGAAGAAAATCAAAGCTATTAATTTAAAGAGTAGGGCCAGGGTGCAACACTCTCCTTTATTCAGTAAACATCTACAGTTGCTTTCTTTTTATCCTCCCTAGGAAGTTACTAGGTCACTTCTATTACCCCACGACGGCGTTCATACCGGCCGCCCTGGCCTCTCTAACCGCCATCCTCCTCGAAAGGAAGTCCAGGTACGCAAAATGTTACCATGACAACAGAATTTATTTATATACTTATATTTATATGAACATATTGGAATCTATTTATCTTACTTGTAGTTGAGTCCCTATTGTTCTCTATGGTTTGTAGTGGATTTGTGTTGATAGATTGAATGTTTTGTTTTGCATTGTCTTGCATGTTTGGTTTTCGGTTTTCAAGGTGTTCTGAGTAATTATTCGTACAAAAGGGGAAAACAGTGATTATTCTCTTGTATAGAAATGCATGCCACTTTTGTGCTGTTTTAAGTAGACTTTTCCATTATAACAACAGTGTAAATGTCCTTGCAAGATAAACACTAACAACAAAAACCCAATCAGCTCTAATTAGATTAATTCATTTAGCTTTCAATCAATATGTCTATATTGAAAAAAATATGCTGCTTTCAAAACTAACATTGATTTAAACAGAGCTAAAGAAATTAACATTGAATTAACATGTGAAAACAAATACAGTGTAACTTTGTTATCTCCAAGACTGATATCTCAGGTACCAGGATAAGTGGAAGTGTGTTGGCAGTCCCAAAGATATTTATGCCCCCCTTTGAAAAAGGGAGGGTATATTGCATTACTGCTGTCTGTCAGTCCGTCTGTCCACTTAGTTTCCGTTCATTTTCTTCACAACAGTTGCACATACTGAAATGAAATTTGGTATACAGATTTATAAGATAAATATCTAGGTCAAGTTCTGTTTTTGGTATGATCGAGCAATTTGGGACAGATTTATGCTACTTGGACTTGGAAAAATACCAATTTGGGGGAGGGGGCATAAGTGCTTTACAAACATCTCTTGTTTTTTGTGATTTTTACCCTTGCTGTTTTAATTCCTCAGATATGTTGAAGTTTAAGGTTGGTGGAGCTCAAGATAACGAAGTTTGTCTGTACTGTATTTGCTCTTGAGTTTACTAACTTTTATATACAGAAACCTATACCCTGTTTCTTGTAAACAAAACACAGTCAGCAGTTTAATGTACAACAGTATATATACTGTAGATTCCTTATTTTTCGCGAGTACTTATTATCATGAAAGGACTCTTAAATGTCAAATTGCGAGAAAAAAAATTTGCGAATGGACAGTTGATTGAGAGCTTTTATAAAGATCTTAGCTCCTTAAAAGTAAAAGTGAGTAATCTTAATTCACGAGTGGTGCTTCTCGCGAAATTACGCGATTATTAATTACACATGTTTATTCAGGAATCTACAGTAGTTATCTATTCAAAAGCATTTAAAACTTGTATGCATATTTTATTTCTCTTCTTTTCTTAGCTGCATGTCTAGCAGATATAATTTATTGATTTTTTTTTATCTTTCCATATGTAATTTAGAAATACATGCAATAATAATAGTAGATGAATTTTATTCTTCATCAACAATTTCTAGCATTAAATACAGTACCTGATTATACCATACATTTTTTAAAACAATATAGTTTTCAAACCAAAGAGGGATAATCTCTAAAATCAAATAATAAGTCAGTTTTAAAAAGTCAAAACATTAAAATTTAAATTACATAATTCAATCTTAGAGGTATACCAACAGCTCTATATAAAATAGTTAAGATAATAAATATTCTCTGAAGCATGAAGATCTAATATCTGTCAATCAGTCAGAAAAATTTAATTAATATATTGTACCAGGGAGTGGGCAGAGCATTCATTGATGGGGAGGGAAATCTAACAATGAAGTCAATATGGCTTTGTGACCCTTTGTGATCGGTATTTTATATTTCTACCCGTGGTCTGCACCCAGAAACCTTGCAATGCTAAATACCTCCAACTGTCAATGTCATCATTTCATTCAAATATTCAGAAAATAAAAGATATCTGCTATTCAAAAATACCTAAAAATAATTCTTTATTATCAGGTCTGTTCATATGTAATATAACGTGTATATCGCGATGGATTTTTTTTTGTTCTTATTCTTAATCTTTACAATTTACATTGATAAAACATTGAATAGGGACTTGTGGTTTGTAATGTATTTACCGAGAACACAATCAAATTTCTATAGGAGTGACACAATGATTTCTCCTCACATGCATCCGTGCTGACTGACTGCATTTATCTGGTGAATAGTGGGCCGGGTGACATCTCAGGATACGACAATACGCCAGTCAGGTTTGGCACGCAAAAGGGGTGGACCTCGCTTACAATATCATTATATTCCATGAAATCCATTTTCAAAAAGAAAATTAATTTTCTGGATATGTGACTTCTAACAAAAGGAGAATAAAGTTGCATATATTTTAGACAACAGAGGAACTTAAAATGGCTGGAATTTTTTTTTCTTTCGAGATTAAAAAATTGTCTGCTTAAAGGACAGAGCCAGAGGTTAATTGAGTTGATATTCTGACTTAAATCTTATCGTATTTCAGGTCTCCTAATTCAGGAATAAGGGACCATGGTTATCGTTTTCAAACAATGCTGAAAGATTAGAAATTAACTTGTATCGGAGAATGGCACCTAATTAGGTTTTTCCAGCATTCTTTTGATACACCCTGGTCAAGTCATATCAAATTAAAGGGACTCTTACTGAGGCAAAAAGATTTCTGTGTTCTGAAGTTTGTTGTGAAAATTAAAAAAACATCTGATCTCCCTGACTTAGGAAAAACAAGGCCCTAATTATGATTGCTTTGAAGAAGATAGGCAAACCGACATTTATATATTTTAAGAGGAAAAAATAGCAAAGTATGAGTGCAAAAATTCCATATAATTTGAAGGTTAGTTTTAAGCTAAAATATTTTTGAAACTTTTTATGTGAGATAAGAGGAATTTATAGTTTTTTTCCAGGCTTCTTTGAGAAATGAACGTATTTGCCTCCAGTAATATTTCAAGCGAAATTTAAACAAAAAACATAATTTCATACTCCATCATGTGAAATTGATTTTTCTTGCATTACTGGGATAGAAAGATGTCAAAGCTGTAAACTGATCTTGTCGTGGTACAGAGTCCGACTAATGCATCCTATTTGTCAACAAGATTCTTATCGTATTTAAATAATTAGGATTCTCGTCAGTATAGTTAGTGTTATAAGAATTGGGTAAGTGCTATGTCATTATCTGTTGGTTCGCGTAATAATGATATTGATCCCCATAAATAGGCTCCGAGTGTTTTTCGGAGTTGCGATAGGAAGTGACACCATCTATTCCCTTAGATAAATAAAATGCTTTCTGCCTCGCTCACTACCCTCATGCTATAATTCCGTTTTTATCTCACAGATTTACCCTAATGATTTTTGACAAGTGTCATTATTCATTTCTTCATGTTTTGTTTTTTTGCGGGGATGCAGCTTCCATTGTGGTAATTATTCCACATGTTCAGATCCCAGCAATATTTCTCGTTCTTTCGAGGCCCCTTGCAAAATTCCTAATAATTGGACAGAGTTCTTTGCTATTGTGCTGTTCGGTTCTGAATACGTTTCCCAATTCTTTAACTTATTAATTTTTTCGTAAAAAGGAATTCAAGAGTCCATTTATAGATTTTTCAGAACCACTTAAAAGATTGACACATGACGAACAAAAGGGTAGATGGCTGACAACCTCTTTCTGGGTGCACAAATTTCTCCCAGCAGGAAATTAAGGTCGCAGAGAACGACAAAGATTATGTATTTGAAAACTCATTTCATTTTCATAGTGCATAGCTAATCTGTCAATTTTCCCATTTAACTTGAGAGGAAATTGTTTGTATGGATTTTTTTGCAAGTTTTTATCAATGTGAGAATCGACTATTCAACATTGCATAGCATTGAATACCATTCCCGAACCTAGGATAGCTGAATTTCAATGATTATTTTCTATAAACAAGTTTTTTAATTATTGTGCAATTCATATTTTTTTCAAATGGGGATGTCAATTTCTGTTGTGTTTCATGGACGTTTCAAGGAGAAAATCTCAACAAGCAAAATTTCACAATAATGGGTCAGTTCTGTCAAACCTCTGGACATTTTAGAAGCCCTTGCGTTCATAAAACACCAAAAAATAGGCGGAGATTTTTACCTCAAGAACCTGAATTAAATAATCTAGCTGTAAACAGAGGCACCAAAAAGATTTTAAAGTTAGTTTAATTTCTCACCCTGCCATAAATTTGTCTGTCAGGCAACTTGATGCTTTTCAGTAATCTTTTATTGGTTTACGACAGTTAAACGCTCAAAAGCAATAAGATATTATGGGGGACTGCCAGTTTGTTATTTTATACACCTTTTTTGATTGCTCTGATAAGGAGGTGATAAAAGTCAGATTTTAAAATCTTGAGGAAGACTTTGAGGGGCCTGGAAGCTGACATTGATGAAGACTGGACCGTCAACCCGGCGTACAGCTGTTAATGGAAATTCTAATTACATAATATAGAATTACCTCATCTTACATACAAAACATGCATGTCAGATAGGGCTTGGTTGCAAATAGGTACACATTTTTGCATGATAGGCTGATGGAATTTCACCACCTTTGAAGTGGGTTCAAAAATTAAATAAAGAAAAATTTCAAATTTATGATTTTAGATTCTGCATTTAATTGTCTCATATCCCTCCCCCCCCCCCCCCCAACACCACATACACCACACCACCACCATGCACTTTCCACAGACAAACAAAAGTCAAACATACAGATTTTGCATGCATGGTTCTAAGGTAAAGTGGTTCAATCTATTGGTACACATACTTCGTAGGTAACATCATTATTATCTCATTATAGTTTACTTCTTAGAAGAAAAAAAAAACTCACTTCTCTTAATAAAAGTTGCAATTTCTAAACATTTATACATAAAAATAATTTAAAAGTCCTTGAACTGAAAAGGCCAGTGTGACATATTGTAACTGTTTCCCCATCCCCAAGATCAGAAAGAGTCGAAGAGCACCTGATCATCAGGGGCAGATAAACAGGTCAGATAAAGAAAGGGGAGATGATAAACAAGGCGTAGAATGTGTAGCTACTTTGATTCCGAGGGAAGTTAGATGTGTTTATTTTGACAGAAAACCTATCTTTTCTTGTCATGGCCATTTTTATTGCACAACATAACTGATAATTCTGACTTCTTGAGGAATGACTTCTATATTTTTTTTTTGTTTACGTGGGTCTGGCTTCTGGTGCGAGGAGTGGGTAATGCATCTCTGTCGGTTACAATTAGGGAGATATCGCCTGATAGTATCTGGAGCTGTAGCTTCTGGTGTGACCTGGATATTGTCAAGAATGAAGCCCCTCTTGAGTTTCTGATCCCCACTAAATGCGTTATGACCTTTTTTATCCTTCTATCTTGGTAATTTATGAGGGAGGAAAATAGATACTTATAATAATGACATGAAGTAAGGAAATGCTGCAGGCTGTCTTTTGTGGTTTGGAAATCTTAAGTAAAGTCTAAACTTTATATTCTTTGTATTTTATTAAGAAGTTTTTCTTTTTATTTTTTAAAGAAAAAAAATTTATGAATTATGTAAATGTAAAATTTTAATTTTTTTTCTTCCCAAATCAGCTAATATTCATATAAGTTATTTACATGGGCATCGCACAAGATACATGCATGCCCTTGGTTCATCAGAACTGCGGAAAAAGAGAATTCGACAGGGATTAAAATAAATTTAGCATATACAAGTAAATTAGAAGGGTTTAATAATAGAAAAAATATTCATGCCCAGGGCCGATAAATTTATTTATCATCATGACAGTTTTATTTGTGACACTGATTATCATGCGATACCGAATCTTGTCGGAATAATACTCGATGAATTGATTAAAAAATACTGCAGGATCATAAGGGGCAGTAATTAATCCTTTGTCATAACCCGGGGGCCTTATGTCATCGTTGAGGGTGGGAGAAAGCCGAATACGATTTCCATACTCAAATAGAGGAATCTCAAATGCACGCATTCATTGATGGAAAAAAAATACATGAACAGGCAAATTGACAATGATATGAATATGGAATTGATTTGAAATAAGATAGCTGCCATGGGACATTATAGATTGTTAATTATATGAGAGGGGATGTTGTGTTTTCTTGTTTGCATTAATCATTTTTAATGAAAAACAATAAAATTTTATTATCTTTTTCAGGAGAGGACTGTTGGCGATTTACATGGCCAATGTGGTAAGTGACTCCATTCGGCAATGTGTCACAATAAATGACAATTAAACTAACAATGGCTGAGGTTTTCCAGGGAGTGTAATTTCAGATCCACTTATTTGCTGGTTCAATATTTCTGCAAATGTTTAATTCTAACACAATGATTGCTTGATTTTAAAATGAGAAAAACAATTTTTGAATACACATGACATTAATAGAAAATTATGCATTTAAAAAGGATCAGGCATTTTTTCTTTGGGGAATATTATACTTTTGCATAGTCATTCATACATTGATTGTGGAATGAATTTTTCATGAAACTCAATATGTGTGCAAAATTAACACATATAATATGAAATGATTAAAGTTTTAAGAGCTCCATAAGTTCCCTGTTGCACTGCAGAGGCCATTTTATTTTCCGATTTTAAGAGATTATGGAAGCTGGCATCATGCAGATGTGAGTTTTGATGAAAAAAATCGCAAGCTGATTGACGGGATGTTGTTATTTTGTATTCACTGATGCACGGCAATAAGCTGGTGGTGATCAGTGAAGCGTGACATTCGACTGCTGATGAGGCTTTGTGACTGCAAGCCTGGCAATTTCTGCAGTAAATGCCAAGTGGAATTAACCTCTTAGCCGAAGCTGGGCCGATTCAATATCCCACCGCGTGTCGCATTGTTGGCCCAGGGTTTTCAAGTACGCAAATCTGGCAAAAATTATCTCTTTTAATTCCACCATTCGGCTTCTGCTGTGAAACAAGTAGACCACAAAAAATAACAACTCACTTTCAAAAACAGCAATGAGTTATGAACTGAAAACACTGACCCAGAAAGTATATCTTGAATTGAGTTACATGTTTGGTTTTTATAGTGGCTGGTGCCTTAATAAATTGTTTGTATGACAGTTGGCAGTAATATTTGCCATTAGGCCATCTATAGTCCAGCAATTGTACAGTTGAACAGATTTTTTGTGATCATTTTTGGTTCATTTCTGTCCATTGATGATGTCATTTGTTGTTAAGATTTCTTAGTCAGTGTAGGTAACAAAAATATGAAATGTTTAAATGAGCATTGATCAATTGCACAAGTCATGACAAATATTAAAATATTCATATAAATTAATTTTTGGTTTTAGATCCAGTTACAAATTTTGTGCAAATAAAATCTGCACATTAAAAAGAGTTTGAATTAATTTAGATTCATTAAATCATTTAAAATCTCTTGTAGCAGGGTGGGCATTAGCGAACGCAAAGAAAAGTTAATCCCAGGGAAGTTTTTTAGTTTCAGTCGATGTGATTTTTTCTTCCTGAAATTTATATGTTTGTGTGAGCGCAGATCTTTCAGTATTTTTTGGTTGACTTAACATGTCGAGTGCACACCGAGATGGAATGTGAAATGAGCATTTGTCATTTCCCATTCAAGAAGACAAGAAGCAGAAGATAAAATGTAATCCCATAAAAGCTTCCAATGGAAGCAGACGTCAAAGTCCCGCTGTCAACTAATACATCTAGCTCCGTGATTAATGGCTTATATAATTCATTACGCATTGATGAATGAATGTGTAAAATTAGAAAATGGGATAATATGCCCTGCAAACTATAGTAGTCACCTCGCCGTGTGTGATATATTGCCTTCAGATCATGATAATGAACTAAGCAAGCTACTGTATTAGAAAATGATAGTTTACTATAGTCATATTCTCTTATGTAAAATATGCCTGATTAATTTTCGAAGTAATTTTCACAAAAGTAATAATTCATACAGTGTACATGTCTGAAAAATAAAGGCATGACTCCTTGTTAAAACATAAGGGCTCTTTGTTTAATAACATTAAAGCTTTATTGTCATATTGATTAGATCTACTGGATATAGATATTTCTTTTGTTTTTACATGTACATGGATGTATATATATATGTGTTTAACATAGATAATCCTATAAAAAGTCTGAATGGTCGGAATTAAATAGGTATTTAAAATAAAAAAGAAAAACACGAAAAACTTCAGTAAAGCTTTAGGCCTTTCATTCTATCTTATTTATTTTATTTATGAAGATAGAATGAAAGGCCTAAAGCTTTACTGAAGTTTTTTGTGTTTTTCTTTTTTATTTTAAGTTTGTGTTTAACTATATACTATTTACAATGCTAAATATTCATAAATTTATTATCTTAAATACATAACCGATGACATAAATAGCAGCAGTTCTTGCAGAAATTCAAGAAATAAGAACTCTGTTAATTTGCTAAATTAAATGTGCTTTCCAATTTTTTTAAAGAACATTTTTACTGATTTTAGGCGACAGAAACTGCCTACAGAATGCTGCTGTCACGTGGTTGGATGAAGCCAGTCAAGCATGGAGAGGTGAGTCATATTGGTCGCGCACACGTTACGTGCGAAGATTACGTCACAAATCTCTAATGACAAAATGTGACGGACAGATGGGAGAGGGGGATAATTTAAAATTGCTGATGAATGGTTATTGTCGTGCCAGTGCGGGGATCAGATCGACTGAATCCGAATTATCTGATGTTGTTTAGAGCGCGGGAGAACTAACTCGGAATTTTACTGTCGTCCTTTATATTGTAATGGTGACACATTGTCTGGAGAAATTGGAAAATTTCTCTGGCATTTACGCGGAATATTTTTGAGAAAAGCAGATTATTGTGTACGGAGTATTGATTTTTCGTACTAATCATAAAGCATGTAATTGTTCATTTGATTTATGTGCAAATTGAGTTAGAAATAATTTGTTGGTTTAAAACAGTATTTGCTAGAACATATCTAAAGATAATGGCCCATTCTGATCTGTCTTTATTTGACGTAAATTTGATGAAATAAATGAAAAAGTGCTCCATACTCATAGGACACGCAATGGAATTTTTGTTTTGTTTTGTGTTTTTTTAAAAATATGTGTTCTTTGTTAATTATCTATTGATGTTTGGCAATGTTAGGCTTTTAAATGGTCCATATGCCAATATGAATACTGATCACTTATTAGTAAAAAAGCAGTATTTTAATACAATAAAGCCAAATATTAATTATTCATAAAAACGGTTGAAGAGGGGTGGGGGTATTTAAGGAATAATGGTTTTGTTTCTAGTGTTTGTTAGGTTATACAAAGAACAAAGCACCTAGTCATTTGTATAAATTTAGAGGGCATTGTTAGCAGTAATATTAAACAATTTTCACTTTTGTTTCCATAAACCAAAAAATTCCTATCTTTAGAACATATTTCCTTCATATTTTAAATCAATATAACAGTTAATAAAAATAAATTCAAAGATAAATTTAATACAATTGAATTTTTATGACTTCCTTGAAATTTATTCATCTAATATTCCATGCAACCCCTGCCAAATATATCTTTTTGCAGGGCAATATGTACGTAGGACAAACCTTATGAATTCAAATGATAAGAACTTTTTTTTTACTCCCAGGGTACAAAAAAATACTAATGAATGTAAATATTAGCATATAAGATGGAGGGGATATAAGTTAGCAATATAGCATACTAGGAAAAAAAGAAACATATTGCAAAACCTGAATACTTGGACATTAATAGCTAGCAGCTGAAGTGAAAAATGTATTTGACAGAGAGCTCAGAAATTTATGTCGGTATACAATACAGTTATGTATTTATTATAGTTGACGTTCTCAACTTCTTGCATCATTAGGTCTGTCATAAAGAATCAAGTTCATATGCATTCTCTGATGGAATTTAGAAAAAAAAGTTATTTCCCTTGTCAGGAAAGACAAATGTCTTGAAGGAGACTTTTTGAAAAAGAATTCTAAAATCTGGGAGATTTGCACTTCTTAGTGATTTAAACTTCTCCTTGGGAGGTTTATAACATTCTGAAAATAATGAAACTGATTACTGTTGGCAGTATGACCAAAGATTGCCCCTCTGCTGTCAAAAGTATATCTGGTGGTATTTCTTAAATTGTTTGGGTTTTTTTAAGATTGGACTTCCTTATTTGAATGAAAAATAATATAAATCTGAAATATTGATAAGGAAGAGAGAAATAAAAAGAAAAAAAATTATTTTAAACAAACACCATATTCTATTTCAGTGGAAGAATATGTTTGAGTTAGCAAATATTGCCTGTGTTCCAAAAGCAAACTTTACTGTTATTAGTTCAGAATTATGAAAATTTATGATAATTTTTCTTAACTGTGCAATTGAAAAAAAAATGCAATCAATGATTACATAATGTCCATGCCAAGTGTGGCATTAATTAATCATGTGGAAGAAATCAATGTGTATTGGACAGGTGTGTAAAATTTATCATGGCATTAACTAAGGCTATTCATCATAACTGTTTGTCATGTGCCTATGAATCTGGTACGATAGCTGACAACACACTGGGGGCTGAAATTTACAGACATCTGTGACCGTTGTATATTACGATTGTCCACAAAGCTTGTCTGGATACCAGATATATAGTGGACAAATTGATTTGTTGAATTAAAAAAATGGTCACAAAAGTACTTTACATTTTTGACCATCTTTTCGCAGAGTTACCTGCCCTGAAGGCCTCATGGTTCATTGTAGCTGATCAAAGTGTCCCCTCATCGCTGCATCAATTTACGATGATTTTAATGGGAGATTAATATCAGTTTTTATTTTGATTATTTTGCCATTTATTTAGATTGTATAATAATTTTGAGTACTGTGAGAAATTGGTAGTATGCTAACAGCAAAATTAACCAAAAAACAAAACAATATAAAAATATGGCTACCAGGGATTTTGTGTAATTAGTGAGACTTTCATCATGCATGATCAGTTTTGATAACTGTCTACCTATTTCTCATTCTTTGATCTCACAATTTTCAGAAATGTAGGAGAAAATTTAGAAGAAGACATTGCTTACGGAAAAATAAGGCACTTCCGACAGCATCGGAGCAGAAATTTTAACAGCTTACGTCTTTAATTATCAGGTGCTTTTAATTTCAGTACCTGGGTAATTGCTATTAGATAATGTATCTGATTGTATTGTCCTAGGGTATAGCATATAAAAATATGGTTACTTACATTTTTTTTTAGAGTTCAACATTGCAAACTTAGCTGCATCAAAATGGCCTAGGTTGAATAACTCTTGCCAGTGATATTTTAACTGCATATGCTATGAAAAAATACTTGAACACCCAAGTGTGGCACAGTTGTACCAGTAATTGAGAGAAAATTTACCTTGACAAATTTACCTTGACCTTGAGGCATATGATGTATCCTCTGATTTTAACATTTACATATTAAATTTATGTACACCAAATGACCTTTGTTCAGGGTTCTGATAACCATTGTGCCAAGGTCAGTGTAATTCAGTGTTGTAAAAAGGTCATGGCATATCCTTATCTTTGTGTAACCATTAACATGATTTTTTTCCTTTGTAGCTAAACAATTAGTTAGATCTGCTGAGTTTCTGAATTGTGTTAAGAAAACTTGTTCCCAGAGTACATTGTGTTTTGTGCACCTTTTATTGCAGTTATATCCTTATCTCTGTGTAACCATTAGCAGTTTATATTTATTTCAGTTTTTACTTCGAATAATTTTGCTATGTATTTTTTATTTTTTTTTTTCCATTTGTGATGATAAATAAATAGTTAGCAGTGAACAGAAAATCAGCAAAATTTAGAAAATGAGCGGGTTTGTAAATTATTTAGCACTTTTAGTATGGAGTAAATCTAGCAAATCAAAGTGAGTTTTCATTTCAACGAAAATGAACAGTTAAAAATTTGACGTGTGTATCATTTAGTGGACATCAGTATGTCATTGAACATTGAGGAGAGAGGAGACCTGTATCTATCTGCTTGATATGAGGATGAATTATTATAGCTATATTGTCTATTAATTGAAATATTCTATAACTGACTTGGTACTGGAACGGAAATTATCAATAACATTGCCTATGAAAGAATGCATATGATTATTATTATACCCCCCGCAAAGGAAGTTTGGGGGGGTATATAGGAATCAGTCTCCCGTCTATTCTCAGCAGTTTGTGCAATCGTGTCCGGATTTCTTACAGAGGGACATTTTTACATTAAGATTGCTCATAATAAGGGTGTGTCATGACCTTGACCCAAGGTCATTTGGGGAATTCAAGGTTGGAAGAAAAAATTTTGTTTCCATTGGATAAACTTGGTATGTTCTCATTTCACACAAAGATTGCCCTTGACCCAAGGGTGTGTCATGACCTTAAAGGTCATTTGGGGAAGTTCAAGGTCAGTGAAAAATTTCAAAATTCATGTTTGACACATATCTTTTATGGATAAAAATTTCACACAAAGATTGCCCATGACCCAAGGGTGTGTCATGACCTTGACCCAAGGTCATTTGTGGAAGTTCAAGGTTACTGGAAGAAAAATTTCATAAGCTATATCTTTCTTATGGATAAACTTGGTAGGTTTTCATTTCATATAAAGATTGCCCATGACCCAAGGGTGTGTCATGACCTTGACCCAAGGTCATTTGGGGAAGTTCAAGGTCACTGGTAGAAAAATTTAATAATTCGTGTCCGGTCCATATCTTTCTTAAGGATAAACTTGGTAGGAACAGATTAAAAATGACCTTGACCCAAGGTCATGTGGGGAAGTTCAAGGTCACTTGTGTATCATTGATAAACTTGGTAGGTTCTTATTTCACAAAGATTGCCCATGCAGGGTGTGTCATGACCTTGACCCAAGGTCATTTGGGGAAGTTCAAGGTCACTGGAAGAAAAATTTTATAATTCGTGTTTGATACATATCTTTATTATACAAAAACTTACTTCTGAAAAACCCAGCGGGGGGTATTTTGTCCCGATTGGACAGTTCTAGTTTTATGATCTTTTTTGCTTTTATACAAATTCCAGCAAGCAATTAGTACCCAAGTAATATCTCAATGACCATGGAGCATCTTACATTCTGTTATGAGGATGAATTATTATAGCTATATTGTCTATTAATTGAAATATTCTATAACTGACTTGGTACTGGAACGAAAATTATGAATAACATTGCCTATGAAAGAATGCATATGATTATTATTTTAGGATCTTTTTGGCTTTCATACAAATTCCAGCAAGCAATTAGTACCCAAATAATATCTCAGTGACCATGGAGCATCTTACATTCTGTTATGAATCAAAATAAGGAAGCAGGCCTGCAGCAGTTATCTGAGTTTCTGATAACATTCCTTAATTCATCCTATCACATTCTATTGCCAATCACAACAGATAGACAAACAAACAGGGTGTCCTTAAATACCTGGACAGATGTGATGAGCTGTTGTATGGAGGGAGATAAGAGCTGACTTATCTTGTTAATCACTGCTGGCTGAAGATGCTGGCTCTGGCTTGTTATGTCCCATTATCTCATAAAA